CCCTACTAACTTGCTTTTCACATATTTAGAAGACAAACCCAAATAAATTCTAACAGCTTATTATCCTGACTTTTTCAGTTTATTTGATAAGTGTCTCAACAGTGAATAAATGAACAAATGAAGTTTGTGCATGTATAGTATGTTAACTATGTGTGCAAAGGTTGTTTCAAGGCTGCGAGAGGCAAAGGGATTTTAAGATGAAAGCAACACCTTATCTTTACCTGATTTGCTGTGCCTAAGTGTAACAAGGATGGGCCTTACTACTAGAGTGAGGGCTTTGTGGATAGACGCAGTAGGATCATCATTTATAGCCCAGATCTAACAGTCAAAGGCATTGTTTCCAGCAATCTGTCACAAACCAAGCACTACCTTTATTTGCGCACACGTGAATGGATACGCACAGTTTGGAATACACTAAGAAAGTGTAAGAATGTCAGATTGTGAAGAATACGTGCTCTGGCACACTGAGATGAAAACGTCTCTCAAACACGTATATTGGCAAAGCTGATCCAAACCAATGTTGGCACCAGACTCCAAAATAAGAGGTACTTATTTTTTTTTAAAAGAGGTTGTTTTTCTACCTATTTAGAATGCAACAGGTAAGTCAGGTTTAGGCTAAAAATACTGTATACAGTCTTACTTTTCTGTGAGCTCTAACACTGTCTGGAAGCCTTTGGATTAACTGACTATGCCATCATGATTGCTCAGAAAAGTATTTCTTCTCAAAGAGCTGGAAGCCTATGGAGTCCATTCTCTGCCAACTCTTACCAGGCCACCAAAAACTGCTTTTAAAAAGTAATGTTCTTTTCTGCTCCACCAAGCAAACACACCATGGGACTGGAAAGGATCCCTAGGTCATCTGGTCCAGATCCCTGTTATTGCAAGCCTTGGCAAGCGAAGACCACACAGACCTCACCAGTAAAGACCTAGGCAAAGAAGACACTAGTACCTGAACTCATTTCTGCCCTTTGTCACTAGGTCACCTGCCTTGTTCAGAATTTTCATTAATGGCTTGCATTCCATGATTTTACTTACTTTTTCACAGTAATATCATACTATCTCCAGTGACTGACTAGTACACTTAAGAGCGTTTCCTCCACTGCTGTTGCTGGTTGTTTTAGCTTTCATGCTTCATATGATACAACACTGTTGGCTGCACTCAGCAACTCCCCATGGATCTGGAGACAACTACACCATAGATACCTGAAGTTACATGTCTGAATGCGGACCAGATTTCCACCCTTAGTTTTTGTGCTTAGGTCATTAATGGAAATAATACAGAAGAGTTATTGCAAGGCTCTCCATTAATATTTCCCTTTGAGTCTAGAAACTGTTCTTTAGTAGAATTGCTTATCTGCTTTCTAGCCATTCCTCTTTACATTTTGTGCTAAGCACTGTCTTCTCCATGCTAACGTGCTTCAGTTATAACTGGCATTTTGTAAAATGTCTAGTTGAAGTCTGGATTGATTAAGCATGCATTGCTTGATTGGTGTAAAAAATCATTTATCAGGTTAGTCTGACACAATCAACTTTTGCATTAGGTCTCAGTTTATCTCTGTATCGGCAATTATTCTTAATTGAAAGTACGTTCCAAAGTCTTGCTGCTGCTGAGATCCCATTTTTTTCCTGTTTCTGAAAGACAGGTAAGTTGTTCACTACTATGTGTTTTTAGTACAGGAGCTCAAGCTTGGTAATTATACTAAAAGCCCCTACTATTACGTGGCAGTAGTTTCAATATTCCTGAATGTACATTGATCAATAATTCTTACCCATGTAACTGATTATGCTTTATTTGATATTTCTTCAGTGCTTGCTTCTCTAGGATTCTGGTACTTTTTTTTTTCCTTGCAAAGGATTGTTAGATAAACTAAATTTTGCCTTTTCTTGCTAAAGCAGATTTTCATTTGATCATACAAAGAAAATTACCTATACTTGCAGAAGAATGATGGTCCTGTGTCTTGCAATGTACTGCAAACTGTTGGTTAATATAACTTCATGATGGAAAATATGCCCTTTTTTTTCCTCTTGGTAAGCTAGGTTAGGACCTTGTGGTTCATGTGAACACAGGAGTCAAGCCAAGACTGAATTAGCATAGGTTTTTACATGGTTTGCTTCTCCTTCCAGTCAACTTCATACACCTGAATGTCCCATATCCTACTAGTCTCATTGAAAGGAGAATTTCAGCTTAAGTCAATATTTCTGATTGTGTAATATGGTATTCTGTGCAAGAATGACAACGTTCCTGGTTCTCCCTTGCCTCTCTACATGTCTATAGTAGAAGAAGGAAACTAGATTTCCCTGTTAGTAACTTAATTGTCTTTTTTATAGTTACAGTATTTTGTTTCTTCTTTTTGTGTAAAGGAAAAATTGTTAATTGATCATTTGGCCTAGAAGAGAAAAAAACTTCACTTTGCTAAGTTATAAAACCAGCTGTCTCCCCCATGAATTTGAGAACAGTATTGGATGAGCTGTGATCTGATCATTGCTGCACAGTGAGGATGGCAAAGAGCATTGGGAAATTCTGCTTTCTAGTGCCTGGATGATGGGGAATTTGCTTTAAACGTAAAGGGACCAGAATAGATTGTTACTGAACAATAGTGAGATCTCACAGGTGAAGATGTGATTATCAGGTCTCAGCTACATTTTCTGTACTGTATTAATTTGAATTGCTACATGGATTACACATTGATAAGTGCACCTGCAATTGTTTCTTAAAAGTATGTAGAGAATATATATCCCTGAAGATGTTTAATTCATTTTCTGTGAGCCAAGTTGCACAAGTGCTATATGATTTTTATAGTGATAAACCTGGTATTTGGGATGATGCTGTGAATGTTGAGATGGATTTTTTTAAAACTAAATGTCTTCTATATTGAAATTAAAACAAAGATGAAGAGTTTTGTTGTAAGAATTCTACACTCTTTTTTTTCCAGGTTTACTCAACTTTCCTGCTAAAAATAAAAATTAATTTGGCCTCCTTTGCTGAAGACGGTGAAGATTTGGTTTCATATAAATCATTCCTATGAATTGTGAATTGTGATTGACACAATTCTACAATAACTTTTTATCTGAGTTTCAGATGCTCTTGAAAGATATGGGAAGCTTGAGAACAGTTGTGGGTCTGCTGGTCTCCAATGTGAGTGGCTTTTTAAAAACACATATTTCTTTCCTTTCCGCTTGCTATTTATAGAGAGGAAAAGCTGGTAAATAAAGACTTCAATATAAAAATCAGCAAAGCAAAAAAAAAAAGAAAAAAAGAATTAATGTACTAACAGAGTTATTCAGACTGGGTATGCAAAACCAGCCCAATATAATATTTAAATTAGGATCTCTGTCCAACCTGTGTAGGACTAAAAAAGACTATAATGGGATTGTCAAAACAGCCTTTTTTTGTATGAGATGTCTGTATTAACCATTCACTTAACATGATCACACTGGGAAATCAAATATTGCTGGTTTTTAAACAAGTCTGCTGCCACTTTACAAGACCATTGTCAATTCAAACACCTGAAAAAGCTTCTGTTTTTCAAAGTTTTTGCTTTTTGTTTTTTACAGAACAAGATATATGCATAGGAACAAGGAATAGGAGGATCTGCATAATACATCAGTTCTGTTCTTTTGCAAATGAAGATAGAATTAATTTCAGTTTTACACAAAACTTTGCTTAAGCTTAGATTTGGGAATGAGCTACAGAGATACATTTTTATGTTAAAAAGTGAACACTAACTTATGAAAAAACACATAAACATAATAAAACATACACAAAGACTGGCTGAGTAAAAAGAAATACTTTATCTTGCTCAAAATGCAAATCTATTATAAAAAGATTTAGAGTTAGCAATCTATACCCCACAAAGCTCATATGAAAATAAAATGGTGACTGGGCAGTCATGGCTGGCCATTATCTAGAGAAATGATTAAAGAAAGAAGAATAACTAAAACATAAAATGAAGGACAACTAGTTTACAGAACAATGAAGGCTGAAGAATACTTGCCAGAGGAATCCACTCGAAAACCAGTCCTGGGCAGCACTTGTTCTGAATAGGAAAATGGGGAATTAAAGATGAAATACATTTCTCAAGTTATTTAAAGATGCAGCACCAATTTCTCTGCTGTGTTTTGAATTACTGAAGTGCAATTTCTACATTGTGTTACAGGTTTTTTTTCTCTTCCCCTCCTTCCTAGGTGGTACATGTACGTATTCTTGCTAGACGTAGACCTCCCTGTCTATTTCTACACAAAGTGAAACAGATGGTAAGATGATAACGTTCCTTTAACAAAGCATAAGTTATGATGAAAATAAATTTTTTTATGTGTTTAAAATTGGGAAAATCAGTGGCAATATTTGTGCTTATTCAGGTACAACAATAAAAGAGAAAGTTTAATGGCTGTGTTTAGATGACTTGACCACTGCTTTTATTCAACTCAATTGCAAAATGTTTTTTATCATCAATAAGATTAATATTTTGCTAGAAGGATGTATGTTGCCAATAACAACAACTGGTTCTACATGAAGGGAAACCCATTTAATCTACTTTTCATGCAGGTAGTTTCAAAGCATTTGCGTTTCGCTGGATGAAATGCAGCAAATAACTGATCTGTTTTCATATACAACTACTTTCCTGACATTAGAGGAATATGGCTGAATTCACTGTCACACCTCCTTTGCTGATTTTGAAATGGTCTAAGAAATTTTTTTATTATCTCTGCAGGGTCCAGAGTAAATTACAAAACATCCCAAACCAGAGGTGATTTCCATTGGCCTACCAACAACAAAATGGTAAATAAAGCAGTAGCACATTCATGTGACTCTAAACCAGAATATCATACCATGCGTATTTTGTGGTATAAATGAGGAAAGGTCTGTCACAACACCATCTGTAGAACAGTGATGCAACATATGAGTATATATTATCTTCCTGAGATAGAAGGAAGACAGGAGTGGATTTAATACTGTAAGTAGGTAGTTCCAGGAAGAAAGAAGTCAGACAGTGGACTGGAGGCCAGCAATTTTGGCTAAGCCTTCTGGAAATATATGGATGTGGTGAGAGAAATGAGAAGACAGCATTTCCTCTGTGGGCAGCTCCTTATCACTTTGGAAGAGTTTGGACTAAAGCTACCTGCCTTCTGGTGGACTGCTTCCTAAAGGCAGCATGGACTGTAATGATAGTAGCTAAGTAATTCATAGTTCCCTTAGTCAATACTGAACTAATGCTCTAGGGCAAAGGCGTTTTCCCAAAAATGGAGGTGGAGGCTACTGAATGTCTTATGACTTTTTTGGTATAAGTATTTACATAACAGCCGTGACCTGCTCAAATTCAGGTGGCTGCTACCCTGCTTACCTAAAATACAGTGTAGAGATTCCACTTCATGGGAACAACCCTTTGGATTTGGTGTTCCTGTTGTATTTGTGTTCACCAGCGGTGTTAAGAGTTGTGTCAGGTGGGCTATGGTGTTCTAGTTTATAGGTGGCTGTACGTCTTTACTTGGGTGGTTAAAGGAGGTAATTCATTCACATGCTTCAGATTTTGTAAAGTGATTTGGGTTCCTTCAAGATGAGAGGTGTTATCTAAATGTAAATTAGTCGGCCAGCACAACTCCTGAAAATCAAAACCTTTGAAACTGATGCTGCTCCACTGAAAACTTGTAGAAATTATCTTTTTACTCCTATCCTTTCAAGATTTTAATGGCATTCTTAAAAGAGACAGAGTGATTTTAATGTACAAAAAGCAATTTCATCTTGATAGTCTCAATAAGCTTTTAGGTTTGAAAGGGTGCAAGCCTTTTCTCTTGGTCATCCAGCTAGAATTACTCTTTGGAGCTGCTGTAAGATTGGTTCATTCTGTGTTTCCATTTCTGCTTGCAGTCACCCTAATTTGCCCCAGAATTGGCCTCAAGCAGCAAAATGAAAGAAGTAACACCATGCTCAAACTGTGACAAATTAGGGAACAACTTGCTATGTTAAGATAGCCATATATTTTAAGTAAGTTAGCAGTGTCTTTTTTGTAAACTATTGTTTGTGGTTGAGAAGAAGTTAGAGTTAATCTCATTAAGTCTGATCTGGCTTTTGTTCCTGAACAGGTGTCTTTTCTTTGCCTTGCAGAACTTCATATAGAAGTGTTAATTATCATCTTGTCATCAACCGTTCAGCATCTGGCATTTGTTTTCACTGTAGTTTAGGAATCCACACACATGAGTCTGTGCTGTGCTGAAGGCGTTAATCAAGCCTTAAAGTTCTTAAACGTATGATCACCAGAAAGATAAACCTAAGCGCAGACTTGTATTTTTGGTAACTACAGTAAAGCACTGTTAATTTTAGGAAGAATCTGCTGTCAGCAGGCTGGGTCTGTGCGCAGTACAGGATATTTGTAATTATGGCACTGGCACTTCGAAAAATAGAATACAACCTCTAAACAGCTGTGCTCATGTGACAGGCAAAATGTTAGCAACTAGTAGAAAACTTCAAAAGAGGAAAGATCTGTGAAGAATATTTAACATATAAGAAGGGACTCTATTAGCAGTATCTCCCTATGTCAAATACAGGTAGTTCTTTTCAAAACTCACATAGTTCTGGGCTCAAAGACCCTAGAGAACAGCAGCTTCCAAGTGAAGAGGAAGGACCGCTGGGACTGGTCCTCAGCCAAGCAGAACGCAAGTCATTTGTGCACATCCTGGTGCCTTGTATCTGCTAAGAACAAACTGATTGAACTGGTAATTCTACTAAAATACTGAGAGACTAGTGAGCTTTGTTTTATAAAAACCTGTCGATTAGTTTTCATAGGAAACTAACCTTTACACAAGGCAATTTGAAACTTTCCATTTACTTATTATCAAATTCATTTTGACATTTTTTAAACTTTTACTATGTTAAACCTCCTGCCTCCACCTCTTAGGAAATGAGGCAGCAGAAGGCATGTTTGGAGAGGCCAGGACAAATATACCGGACTACCCAACACTGTCATCATGAACAGGCATCCAAAAGCAGAAAGTTTTAAAATATTGACATAAGATTTCTGTATTCTCTATACAAAGCCTTTTTGGTTGAACTTCTGTGCTTTGCCATGAGTAGTTGTAGTCTTTTATGTGAAATAGGAATGAAATAATTACAAAGTAGAACTTGAATGAATAATAAAATACTTGGTAAATTGGCTGCATTATTTTTTTAGTTCAGCTAACCTGTCCTAGAAACAAGAATCGGGAAAGCAAAACTAAGAAGCCTTCTTCCAAACTGCTACTTGTATATAACTGTAACTGAACTAAATCTCCGCCATGGGGACTACTCTGTGTGCTCTGGAGTATGAGGTTGCAGTTGTGCATTTCAAAGAGTCTTGCAGCACATCAATATTCCTTCGATATCAGATGAATGCAAAGCCAAGGTTAATTTTGCTATTAGAAGATAGAATAGTAAAAATCTTGCACATCTGGCTTCATGTTTAATCCCAAATAAATTACACTCACAGTTTTGAAACTGAAAGCTGCAAAACCTTTGTGAAAACAGATAAACAGTAAACAAGACCTAGGACACAATCCTGAATTAACTGAAACCAATGGTGAAAATACCAAATGACTTTGCTGTCAAGATGCAGCCCTAGGAGCACAGTTCACCTACAATGGGACACAGATATTATTTGCACCAGTGGAGTCACTGGTATTCTGTGGAGGAAGAAATATGCTGATGAAAGATAGGGATGATATTTATTGTCCATAGTGCATTATTTTCTGGATCACACTTTGTTGATTGCTAATACACGCAAAAAAAACAGCACTAGGAAATACTTATATTTCAACATCTCAGTCCTAGCCATGCTTTAGATAAATAGGAGTTTTACAAACGAGCAGAATGAATATGATCATGCTGCAATATCCTTTCCAAAGCTGGGCAAGCCGCAGTTCGAAAGAGCGCATAGGCAATGCAGTACCAACTGGTCTTACGTGCCTGTGACCAATTCCCCAATGCTTACAAGTCAGTTTTCTGAAATTATGACTTTGACTTCTTAAGTACACCCTACCGCTTTGCAGATGAAAATCTATTTGTATACCTTTTAGTAAAGTGTAAATTGTTCAAGAGAAAGGAATACTGCATCTTTAACACCACCATCAGTTGTAAAACTGACATTTCATATTAGCATAGGTCATTTGGGACCTACTTTGCAATCCAGCAATCAAAATCACTTTACATCCAAAGTACTGTGATGATGATAGTCTCATAATTCCATTTGAAAATGCTTTTGGTTTCACTGTCAGTTCTTATAACCAACAAATCCATTTTGTCATGGCGAGTAACTCTTTCTGCAGTGCTGAACAATACAAAATTATTTGACATTGGTCTGCTAAATTTCCTCTCCTTTTGTTATGTATGTCTTATTAAAAAAAAGGTTATATTCATTTAGTAGTATAAGTTCTTAAACCTTCTCTGTGCTGTTTCTTGACGTAGCAATAGATGCAAGGAATAAAACCAACCTGTACTCTTCGGAAATTACTTTGAGAAATTACCTTCTTATAACTCAGTTGCTCATACTCTAGGTCAAAGAGTAGTTTGATGATAATATGTAATAGTTAGTAACTTGCCAATACTCTTTTATATACTAAGTGAATGCAGGCATGTCTTACTGATATAAAGGGGAGTAACTGGTGAACAGAAATATTGAAAGATACGGCAAACTGAGCTCAAGGAAGATTTGAAACTAGAACCTAATTTTCTGAATTTGTAGTCCCAAACCCTTTTCCATACAAAGCCCCCTTTATATTTATACAATACTTCAGAATACTATGTATTTAACTCTATCATAGTGCTATGTGTATATATATATATACACACATATGTATATATCTTTTTAAAGTACCATAACCATAATGTGATTTTTTTTTATACTAGAGATGAGCAAAAACAGGAAAAATTGTTAGAGGCAAAATTTTTGTCAGGAAGATACCATCTGAAAGAATTGCAGTAACAATTATGTGAAAAATTTCCTTCAGTTTTTAAGACTGCAACTGTGCAGGTCTTCAGCCAACAAGCACTGACAAGAAAATTCTGCTT